CTACAGTTACTCTGATTCCCAAGCCACACAAAGATGCAACAAAGAAAGAGAACTACAGACCAATCTCCCTCATGAACATTGATGCAAAAATACTCAATAAAATATTGCAAACCAACTCCAAGAACACATCAAAAAAATTGTCCACCATGATCAAGTAGGCTTCATCCCAGAGATGCAAGGATGGTTCAACATACAAAAATCTGTCAATGTAATATACCATATAAACAAACTGAAAAAAAGAAAAACCACATGATTATTTCATTAGATGCTGAAAAGGCCTTTGATACAATTGAACACCCCTTCATGATAAAGGTATTTGAGAGATCAGGAATACAAGGAACATACCTAAACATAATAAAGGCAATTAACAGCAAGTCAACAGCCAACATCAAATTAAATGGAGAGAAACTCAAAGTGATTCCACTAAAATCAGGAAGAAGACAAGGCTGTCCACTCTCCCCATATCTATTCAATATAGTACTTGAAGTTCTACCTAGAGCAATAAGACAACAAAGGAGATCAAGGGGATACAAATTAGAAAGGAAGAAATCAAACTTTCACTATTTGCAGGTGGTATGATAGTATACATAAGTGATTCCAAAAATTCTACCAGGGAAATCCTATATCTGATAAACACCTTCAGTAATGTGGCAGGATACAAGATTAACTAAAAAAAAAAAAATCAGTAGCCCTCTTATATACAAATGATAAATGGGCTGAGAAAGAAATCAAAGAAACATCACCCTTTACAATAGCCACAAATAATATAAAATACCTTGGGGAAATTCTAAGTAAGGAAGTGAAAGACCTGTATGATAAGAACTGTAAGTCCCTGAAGAAAGAAATTGAAGAAGATATCAGAAAATGGAAAGATCTCCCACGCTCATGGATAGGTAGGATTAACATAGTAAAAGTGCCAATCTTACCAAAAGCAATCTATAGATTCAATGATGATGGGGACATCAAAATCCCAACACAATTCTTCACAGACCTCGAATGAACAATACTCAACTTCATTTGGAAAAACAAAAAACCCAGGATAGCTAAAACAATCCTGTGTAACAAAGCCACCTCTGGAGGTATCACCATCCCTGACATCAAGCTCTACTGTAGAGCTATAGTAATAAAAACAGCTTGGTGTTGGCATAAAAACCAACATGTAGACAAATGGAATTGAATTGAAGACCGTGACATTAACCCACACACCTATGAACACCTGATTTTTGACAAAGAAGCCAAAACTGTACAATGAAAAAAAGAAAGCATCTTCAACAAATGGTGCTGGCATAATTGGATGTCAATATGTAGAAGACTGTAAATAGATCCATGTCTATTGCCATGCAAAAAACTCAAGTCCAAGTGGACCAAAGACCTCAATATATAACCAGTTACACGAATCTGATAGAAGAGAAAGTAGGAAGTAGTCTTGAATGAATTGGCACAGGAATCTACTTCCTAAATATAACACCAGTAGCACAGACACTAAGAGCAACAATTAATAAATGGGACCTCCTGAAACTGAAAAGCTTCTATACAGCAAAGGACACAGTAAATAAGACAAAAATAACAACCTACTGAATGGGAAAAGATTTTCACCAACCCACATCTGATAGAGGGCTGATCTCTAAAATATATAAAGAACTCAAGAAACTAGACATCAAAATACCTAACAGTCCAATTAAAAAAATGGGCTATAGAACTAAACATTCTAAATTCTCAAAGGAAGAATTTCAAATGGCTGAAAGACATTTAAGGAATTGCTCAGCATCTTTAGTCATCAGGGAAATATAAATGAAAATGACTCTGAGATACCATCTTACACATGTCAGAATGGCTAAGATCAAAAGCACTGCAGACAGCTTATGTTGGAGAGGATGTAAAGCAAGAGAAACACTCCTGCACTGTTGCTGGGAGTGCAAACTTGTACAGTGACTTTGGAAATCAGTGTGGTGATTTCTTAGAAAATTGGGAATCAATCTTCCTCAAGACCCAGCTATACCACTCTTGGGCATATACTCAAGGAATGCTCAGTCATACCACAGAGACACATGCTCAACTATGTTCATAGTAGCATTATTCATAATAGCCAGAATCTGGAAACATCTAGATGCCCCTCAACTGAAGAATGGATTAAGAAAATGTGGTACATATACACAATGGATTAGGGCTCAGCAAAGTAAAATAGTGACATCATGAAATTTGCAGGCAAATGGATGGAACTAGAAAATATCAACCTGAATGAGGTAACCCAGACTCAGAAGGACAAACATGGTATGTACCCACTCATAAGTGGATACTGGAAGCAAAGGATAACCAGACAACAACCCACAACTCCAGAGAAGCTAGCTAACAAGGAAGACCCAAAGAGGGATGCATGGATTGCCCTGGGAAGGGGAAATAGATGAGATCTCCATGAGTGAACTGGGGTGAGGGGTGGGCAATGGAGGGTGGGGGTGGGGAATGAGAACATAAGGGAACGGGATGGTTGAGCTGGAACAGGAATGGAGTGGGAAAGCAATGAGAGAGATACCATGATGGAGGGAGATATCATGGGGAGGGAGAGAAAACCAGTGCTAGGGAAGTTGCCAGGAATCCCCAAGGATGACCCCAGCTTGGGCTACTAGAAATAGTGGAGAGGGTGCTTGAACTGAACTGGCTTGCCCCAGTGATCAGATCAGGGAATACCCTAACTCTCATCACAGAACTTTTATTCAATGACTGATTATGGTGATATTTTATTTGTATTAAAATGTTATTTGTATGTTAATAAATAAAGTTGCCCAGGGGTCAGAACTATTAGCAAGCCATAGGAAAGCACAGCAGTAGTGGCATACGCTTGTAATCCCAGCACTTGGTAGGCAGAGCTAGGTAAGTCTCTGTGTGTTCAGGGATACAGCCATTATTGGATACACATGCCTTTAATCTCAATACCAAGCATGGAAAACCTGGAGGTCTATACAGACAGGCCGTGACGAGGCGGTCATGTGGTTGGGTTTACAACCAATGAGAAGGCAGAACAGAAATTCTATATAAGGACTTTAACACAGAAAGTAGCTCTGGTTCGGAGAGGTAGGACCACTGTAGGAGGAAGGGTAAGGTTTTAGTGCTTAGCTCTAACCTCTTGGCTTTCTTCTTTGCATTGGTTCTGTGTTTCTTATTTAATAAGAAGGTTGGTTACATCTACAACTGATGGAGGCAGATGCAGAGATCCACAGCCAAACACCAGGCAGAGCTCCAGGCATCCATAGGAGAGAGAGAGGAGGGATTCTATGAGCAAGTGCATCTGGATCATGATGGGGAAACCTGCAGAGACAACCAAACCAAACTAGTGGGAACTCATGAAAGTTGGATCAATGGCTGTGGAGCCTGCATAGGACTAAACTAGGCCCTCTGCTTGGCAAGACAATTGTGTAGCTTGATCTGCTTGGTGGTTCCCCTGGTGGTAGAATCAGAATTCATCCCTAGTGCATGAGCAGGCTTTTTGGAGTCTACTACCTATGATGGGACACCCCATGCAGCCTTGAGAAAAGGGGAAGGACTGGATGTGCCTCCCCATGGGAGGCCTTGTCTTCTTTGTAGGGGGGAATGGGAGGTGGGTTGGGGGGCCTGGGGGGTGGGATGAGGGAAGAGGGGGATCTTTTGATTGGTGTGCAAAATGAATGAAATTTTTTTCCTTAAAAAAAGACTTAATGCATATTGTGAAAAACATACTGCTCTGGATGACAGAACAGCTTCAATAGATAAAACAAAATTTTCAGGAGAGATGATAAAACAAGTACTTTGGCAAACTTTTATAAATGATCAAAAATCAAAGCTAAAAATACAAATAAATGGCACTGCAATTGAAGTTTACTAGACACTTGTGCAGATGTATCAATATGTTCACCAAAATCTTGGCACCCAGATTGGCCTCTTCAGGATGTAAATGTTCTAAGGAATGGAATTTTATCTCTGATTAAACAAAGTGCAAGCTGGGGTGAATATATGGGGCAAGAAGGGCAGATAGGGAAATTAAAGCCACATGTGGCTAACATAACAATGGATTTATGATGATGTAATTTGTACAGCAATGGAAAACACAGATTAACATTCCTCCAGTCTCAGAAACAAACTAAAAAATAAAGAATGCTTTTGAGAGATATATTAAAAGATATTATCAAGAACAGTCACTGACCACTCAGGTTGAACATAAGCACGGCATAACAGCTGTTGATCTTTCAAAGGTACCAACAGCCCTACCTTTAAAATTATTAACAGACAAACTTGTCTGGGTGGAACAATGGTCTTTGACATCAGAAAAATTACAGGCATTAGAACAGCTGTTACAGGAACAGCTAAATGCTCAATATATTGAAGAATTGAGCAGTCCTTGGAATTCTCCTATATTTGTCATTAAAAAGAAATCTGGAAAATGGAGAATGGTAACAGATTTGAGAGCTATTAAGAAGGTGATCCAGCCAAAAGGCTCTTTACAGCCTGGAATTCCCTTACTTTCTTTATTACCTAAAGGATGGTCTATTATAGTGATTGATTTAAAAGACTGCCTTTTTTACTACACCTTTACAAGAACAGGATAGAGAAAAGTTTGCTTCATAGTACCTACTTATAATAATTCCCGGCCTCTTAAAAGGCACCATTGGAAAATTCTCCCACAAGGGAAACAGCCCCATCTTGTGTCAATATTTTGTAGAATAGCCATTAGAAACAATTCATAAACAATTCCCTTAATATATAATTTACCATTATATGGATGATATCTTACTAGCTGATTCAGACACAGATACCTCAGAAAAAATATTTGATGAAGTAAAGAAAAATTGGCCTTGTTGGGGACTACAAATTCCTCCTGAAAAATACAAAGAGGAGATTATACTAATTACTTAGGATATAAGATAGGTTACAGAAAATTCAACCACAGAAAGTTCAAATCAGGAGAGATCAAGTACGAACCCAATGATTTTAAAATATTGTTGGGTATATTAACTGGATACAGCCCACAATTGGATTGACAACTCAAGAACTAAGTAATTTATTTCAAACCTTACAAGATGATAAGGACTTGAATAATCCAAGAAAATTATCATCTGAGGCTGAGAGAGAATTGACTTTGGTAGAAGAGAAATTATGGGATGTACATGCGGTTCACTTGGATCCAGAGCTTGATTGTTTCCTGGTCATATTACCTTCTATACATTCTCATACAGGAATCCCTACACAGAGAGAAGAGAATATTTTAGAATGGACATTTTCACATCACAGAGTGAAAAAAAAATAAAGACCTATGTAGAAAAGGTTTCTGAACTGATTCTGAAAGGAAATTTGAGACTTCATCAATTAACAGAAATAAACCCAACAGAAATTGTGGTACCTTTTAATAATGTGAAATTTCCTCATTATGGGGCAGAAAATGAACACTGGCAAAGAGCTTGCAGTAATTTATTTATTGGGAGAGATTAGCAATATCCCAAAATATCCCCAAAGCAAGAGACTTTGCAGGGGGCCGTTGTACTAGCAGTGACAACTGGTGTTTAAAGTCAGCCCACGAGACACATGATTCCCTGTTGAGGGCCCACTTGGTAAAGCTGTGGGGTTATTGACTGTAAATGACTGGTTGTTTTCTGTCTGTAACTTTCTCAGGTGCCACTGCTATGCCTCCCTAATAAGAACAGCTGTGGGTTCTTTCCACAGCCCTTCAGTGGTGTGTTTTACACTTATTGGGCACACATATAGCTGTGAATGTTCTGGAAGATGATTTTTGTTTAGGCTGTATAATTTTGATGTATAGAAATAATACTAGGATATTTTACTCAGACTGACATAGGATTCTCACTCAAAAAGACAGCCTTTTATACAGACAGCTAATTTTGGACTTCAGAACAAATTTGAAACAGACTAAGCTGCCCCTGCAGAATATACACACAGCCTAATCCCCAGGTGCTGTTTATTGCTAATTCAAGACCAGGCTGTTTACATTGAGACATAGCTCTTTGCAATAGCTCTCTTTCTGCATGTACACTGACAACTCAAGGTTCAGCCAATTGTTTACTGTCTGGGATTCCTCACCAACTTAGAGCTACATGTCAATGTGACATTACTAGCCTAAGAGAAACAACATGACTTACCTTGTGTTTTGAAAATGGGTAGGTCCGGGTGGTGGTGGCGCACACCTTTAATCCCAGCACTCGGGAGCCAGGCGGATCTCTGTGAATTCAAAGTCAGCCTGGTCTACAGAGTGAGATCCAAGGCAGGCACCAAAACTACACAGAGAAACCCTTTCTCAAAAAACCAAAGAGAGAGAGAGAGAGAGAGAGAGAGAGAGAGAGAGAGAGAGAGAGAGAGGACATGGGTAGGATCCTGACACTGTAACTTATTGTCCTGAGTTTGGCTGTGGAGCAGCAGTGGCAGTGTGGAGAGAGATGGCTGTGTAGAGCTATGTGAGAGCTGCTGCCATAAAGGAAGAGCTGTGTGAAGGAACTGTGGAAAGAGCTGGGCAGTGAGTGTGTGTATGTTAGAGTGTGAGTGTGTGTGTGCAGAAGGAGCTGAGGAGAGAACATGAAGAGTTAGGCAGGAGAGAGAACAAGAGAGATTTTCAGAGAGAAGAGGGTGCTGTGTAAGTATATGTGAAAAATGTAGCTGTATGTAAAGAGATGTAACTGCATGGAGACAGAGATATTTCCAGAGAGAAATTTTAAGAGAGAGGATTTCTTGAGTTGAAGTAAGAGAGAAAGTTACCACCAGAAATCATATGTGTTTCCTTATTACTTACCCCTCAGATAGACAGAAACTTATTTCTAAAAACTCTCACATAAAAGTGTTTCCTAAACCCTTGCTACTCTGAGGTCTTCTTTTTCACTGCCCTGGAGCAGATCGTGGGAGCTGGCCTCTAATGGTCTGTGATAAGACTTCAATTTATAAAAAGAATCAATTGGATCTTTTCTCACATTGTATGAGGAACAGCAACTTCTGGAACCCCTACATTCTATACTGATGCAAATAAATCAGGAAAGGCAGGTTGTAAGTCAGGAAATTTAAGTAAATTGGCTCAGAGCCCTTATGATTCTGTTCAAAAGTCAGAGTTATCTGCTATTCTCATGGTATTATTAGATTTTCCAGAAACTCCTAATATAGATACTGGCTCTCAATAAGCAGAAAGAGCTGTTTTATATATTTAAACTACTGAACTTAGTCCAGATTATTCAGAATTAACTTTGTTATTTGTTCAGTTACAAGAAATAATGAGAAATATAAATCATCCCTTATATATAACATATATCATATCCCATATGGGTCTACAAAACCCTCTAGCAGAAAGTAATGATAAAATTGATCAGCTATTGGTAGGAAATTCTCAGAATTTCATAAGAAATACCATGTTAATAGCAAAAGTTTGAAAAAAGGTTTTTCTGTCTCTTTGCAACAAGCCAAGGAAACTATAATGAAATGTCCTTCTTATTCTTTGTATAGCTAAACTCCACTACCTGCATGAAGTAACCAAAAGAGTATATGAAGACATGAAATTTTGGCAAATGGATGTGTTTCATTTTATAGAGTTCTGAAAATTAAAGTATGTGCACCATACCATAGATAAATATTCAAGATTTCAATGGGCAACTGCTTTAAGTTCTAAAGGGTTGATTCTGTAATTACACATTTATTAGAAGTTATGGCCATTATGGGAATAACTGTAAAATTAAGACTGACAATGCTTCGTCATATATCTCTAGTAAAATGAAACAATTTTCTTTTCCATATTACAACATAAAGCATATTACATATATATCACACAATCCTACAGAACAAGAAATTAAAGAAATATCAAATTGCACTTTAAAAGATATGCTTAATAAATAGAAAGAGGTAATAAAGATCCGAGAGGTAGACTATATAATGCTTCATTAATTTTAAAGTTTTAAATGCTAACGAGAAAGGAATGATAGCTGCAGAGAGACATTGAACAGTAGAAAAAAAATTTGATAAATTAAATCAACCTCTATACTTCAAAGATATGTTGACATCAGAATGGAAACCAGGATATGTGAAATGTTGGGGAAGAGGTTTTGCTTTTGTTTCGATAGGAGAAGAAAAGCTATGGATATCATTAAAATTGATAAAGATTGGCCCATTGGACCCTGTATCCTGCAAGACCCACTCTGCCACAAAGGCCCACCCAGCCCACTATCATCTCCCTGGCCAACCATTGCCCCACAAAGTCAGCAGTTCCTAGAGGCACAAGTACTACCGGGACCAATTGGAGAAGGAGCCCCAGCAGCAGGCCAGCAGGTAAGAGTCCTGTGGGCAGACAGCTCCACCACCACTGCCACCCATTGGACCCTGTAACCTGCAAGATCCACTCTGCTGCCCAAGCCCACTGAGCCCATCATCCTCTCCCTGGCCAACCATCTCCCACAAAGTCAGCAGCCCCTAGAGGCTTAAGAATCACCTGCATCAATTGGAAGAAGCTCCCAACTAAATTTCCCCAATCCCTAGGACCTAAGCTCCAGGGCACATCCCCTGCCCCTCCCCTCCCATCTCAGCCCCAGTAGCATGCCAGTAGGATAAGAGTCTTGTGGGAAGGACTCTGCCACCCATTGGATTGTATAACCTATAAGACACATCCTGCTGCCCAAACACACCTAACCAATCATCCTCCTGACCAAACATCCCCCACAAAATCAGCAGCCCTAGAGGCATAAGCACCATCTGCATCCATTGGAAGAACAGCCACCAGAGGCACAAGCATCACCTGCACCAACTGGAAGAAGAGTAACCTCCCCATGAACAGCCCTCTCAACATCAGCAGATCCTATAGGTATAAATGCCAACCACACCAGTTAGAAGAACAAGCACAGGAAAACATACACCAGTTAGAAGAACAGACTCCATAGGCAAAGGCAAAACCCACACCAGTTGGAAGAACAGAGCCAATAGGCACTACTAAAGTCCACACCAGCTGGAAGAACTGAATGATATGCTGGATCTAGGCACACAAACCCTCACAAACCAACCCTACTTGACCTGACAACCAGCCAATCCCCAGAACCCTTGGCCATTCATGGTAAAAGACAATCAAGGAAACAGACAATAAAGGAACAAAACACCCATCCAACAAAAACATCACAAGAATCAACACCTGTTTCTATAATTATTTTAAACCCAGATGTGTAAACAGCAGTGTAAGAATATGTTCAGCAACATAAAGAGCAATATGGTACCACCAGAATTAAGTGGTTCTACAACAGCAAGACCTGAACATCCCAATGCAAATGACACAAAAGAAAACAACCTTAAAAATAATTTAATGAGCCGGGCGATGGTGGTGCATGCCTTTAATGGTGGCGCATGCCTTTAATCCCAGCACTCGGGAGGCAGAGGCAGGCAGATCTCTGTGAGTTCGAGGCCAGCCTGGTCTACAAAACAAGTTCCAGGAAAGGCACAAAGCTACACAAAGAAACCCTGTCTCAAAAAAAAAAAAAAACCAAAAAAAAAATTGTAATGAAAATGATAGAAGCCCTTAAAGAGGAAATTAAAAATTCCTTTAAAGAAATGGAGGGAAAGACAAACAAAAAATTGGAATAAATCCATTAAAGAAAGCCAAGAAAAAAACAATCAAACAGATGAAGGAAACAGTTCAAGACTTGAAAATTGAAATAGAGGTAACAGAGAAAAGACAAACAGAAGGAAGTCTGGAAATGGAAAATCTGGGCAAATGAACAAGAAATACAGATGCAAGCATAGCCAACAGAATATAAGAGATGGAAGAGAGAACCTCAGGTACTGAAGATATGACAGTGGAAATAGATTCATCAGTCAAAGAAAATGTTAAATCCTACAAATTCTTAACACAAAACATGCAGGAAATCTGGAACAGCATGAAAATACTAAACCTAGGAATAATAGGAATAGAGGAAGGAAAAGAATTACAGCTCAAAGGCACAGAAAATATATTCAACAAAATCATAGAAGAAAATTTCATGCCTATGAAGATACAAGAAGCTGACAGCACACCAAATAGACTGGACCATAAAAAAGCCTCTCAACATATAATAATCAAAACACCAAACACAGAATAAAGAAAGAATATTAAGAGCAGCAAAGGAAAAAGGCCAAGTAATATATAAAGACAGACCTATCAAAATTACACCCAATTTCTTAATGGAGATCCTGAAAGTCAGAAGATCCTGGACAGATTCTTTGCAGGCACAAAGAAACAACAGATGCCAACCCAGACTACTATACCCAGCAAAATTTTCAATCACCACAGATGGAGAAAACAAAATATTCTATGACAAAACCGGATTTAAACAATACCTATCCACAAATCCAGCCCTACAGAAAGCACTATAAGGAAAACTCCAACCCAAGGAACTTAGCTGCACTCACAAAAGCACAGGCAATAAATAATCTCAAACCAACAACTCCCAAAGAAGGGAAATACACACACACACACACACACACACACACACACACACACACACACACACATACTACCACCAACAACAAAACTAAAAAATAACAGAAATTAACAATTGCTGGTCATTAATATCTCTTAATATCAATGGTCTTAATATACCTATAAAAAGGCACAGGCTAACTGAATGGATATGAAAACAGGATCCATCGTTCTGCTGCATGCTGAAATACACCTCAATTTGAAAGAGAGACATTACCTCAGAGTAAAGGGTTGGGAAAATATTTTCCAATCAAATGGACCTAAGAAGCAAGTTGATGTAGCTATCCTAATCTCTAACAAAATAAACTTCAAACTAAAATTAATCAAAAAAGATGGAGAAAGACATTTCATACTCATCACAGGAGAAATCCATCAAGATGAAGTCTCAATTCTGTATATATATATACCCCAAAACAAGGGCAACCACCTTTGTGAAAGAAATATTACTAAAGCATAAATGACACATCAAACTGCACACACTAGTAGTGGGAGACTTCAATACTCCACTCTTACCACTGGACAGGTCTGCCAGACAGAAACATAACAGAGAAATAAGGAAACTAACGGATGTTATGACTCAAATAGACTTACTAGATATCTATAGAATGTTTCACCCAAACACAAAAGAATATACCTTCTACTCAGCACCCCATGAAACCTTCTCTAAAATTGACCACAAACTTAGTCACAAAGCAAATCTCAACAGATAGAAAACAATTGGAATAACACTGTGTATCTTATTGGATCACCATGACTTAAAGTTAGAATTCAACAATAGCGTAAACTACAGAAAACCTACAATCTCATGGAAACTGAATAATGCCCAACTGAATCACCACTGGGTCAAGGAAGAAATAAAGAAAGGAATTAAAGACTTCCTAGAATTCAATGAAAATGAATGCACAATATATCCAAACATATGGAACACAATGAAAGAAGTACTAAGTGAAAAAGTTCATAGCACTAAGTGCCTACATAAAGAATCTGGAGAAATTTCACACTAGTGACTTAACAGCACACCAGAAAGCTCTAGAACAAAAAGAAGCAAACTCACCCAGGAAGAGTAGATGGCAGGTAATAATCAAACTGAGGGATGAAATCAATAAAATAGAAACAAAGAACAATACAAAGAATCAATGAAACAAAGAGTTGGTTCTCTAAGAAAATCAACAAGATAGACAAATCCTTATCCAAACTAACCAAAAGGCAGAGAAAAAATACCCAAATTAACAAAATCAGCTGGGCAGTGTTGGCGCATGCCTTTAATCCCAGCACTCGGGAGGCAGAGGCAGGCAGATCTCTGTGAGTTCGAGGTCAGCCTGGGCTACAGAGTGAGTTCCAGGACAGGCTCCAAAGCTACACAGAGAAACCCTGTCTTGAAAAAAAAATCAGACATGAAAAGGGGAACATAATAACAGACACTGATGAAATCCAGAGAATCATTATGTCATACTTCAAAAAACCTGTATTCCACAATATTGGAAAATCTATAAGAAATGGAAAATTTTTCTGGATGCGTACCACATATCAAAATTATATCAAGACCAGATAACCAATTTAAGTAGACTAATAACCCCTAAGGAAACAGAAGCAGTTATTAAAAGTCTCCCAACCAAAAAGGCCCAGAACCAGATGGTTTCATTGCAGAATTCTATCGGAACTTCAAAGAAGAGCTAATACCAATACTCCTCAAGTTGTTCCATACAATAGAAACAGAAGGAACATTGCCAAACTCTTTTTAGAAGGCTATAGTTACCTGATACCCAAACCACACAAAGATGCAACAAAGAAAGAGAATTACAGACCAATCTTCCTCATGATCATTGATGCAAAAAATACTCAACAAAATACTGGCTAACCAAATCCAAGAACATACCAAAACAATCATCTACCATGATCAAGTAGGCTTCATCCAAGGAATGCAGTGGTGGCTCAACACACAAAAATCTGTCAATGTAATACACCATACAAACAAACTGAAAAAAAGAAAAAAAATATAATCATCTCATTAGATGCTGAAAAAGTCTTTGACAAAATCCAACAACATTTCATGATAAAGATCTTGGAGATATCAGGAATACAAGGAACATACCTAAACATAATAAAGGCAATTTACAGCAAGCCAACAGCCAACATCAAATTAAATGGAGAGAAACTCAAAGCAATTCCACTAAAATCAGGAAGAAGACAAGGCTGTCCACTCTCCCCATGTCTATTCAATATAGTACTTAAAGTTCTAGCTAGAGCAGTAAGACAACAAAGGAGATCAAGGGGATACAAATTATAAAGGAAGAATTCAAACTTTCACTATTTGCAGGTGGTATGATAGTATACATAAGTGACTCCAAAAATTCTACTGAGGAACTCATACAACTGATAAACACCTTCAGTAATGTGGTGGGATACAAGATTAACTCAAAAAAATCAGTAGCCCTCTTATATACAAATGATAAATGGGCTGAGAATGAAATTAGAGAAACAACATCCTTTATGATAACTACAAATAGTATAAAATATCTTGGGGTAACTCTAATCAAACAAGTGAAAGACCTGTATGACAAGAACTTTAAGACTCTGAAGAAATAAACTGAAGAAGATATCAGAAAATGGAATGATCACCCATGCTCTTGGATAGATAAGATCAACATAGTAAAAATGGCAATTTTATCAAAAGCAACCTACATATTCAATGCAATATCAATCAAAATCCCAACACAATTCTTCACAGACCTTGAAAGAACAATACTCAACTTCATATGGAAAAACAAAAAACCCGGGGTAACTAAAACAATCCTGTACAATAAAGCAACCTCTGGAGGTATCACCATCCCTGACCTCAAGCTCTACTATAGAGCTATAGTAATAAAAACCACTTGGTATTAGCATAAAAACAGACCTGTGGATCAATGGAATCAAATTGAAGACTCTGATATAAATCTACACACCTATGAACACCTGATTTTTGACTAAGAAACCAAAATTGTACAACGAAAAA